TGTTATCACAAAATAATTAGTTTAATCTGTAAAAAAAAAAAATTAAGACTGATAAAATTAATAAATTTACTCTTAGACAAATATCAAATATTATGTAACATTATGTTACAGTTTTCTGTGTGAGGACTGGCAACAAAACTAGACAATTTTTAGAGGAGGCTTAAGCCCTCCCTGACCCCCTCGTGTTAGGTACCGTGTCTACTAACTCTCATAATTTATACAATAAGTTAATTTTAAAAAATCCATGAGAAAGCACACATAATGTTCCTAACGATCTTTAAGTTTAATAAATGATAATAGTTCAATTCATTTAACAGTTACTATACATCATTTTATTTTGTATGGTGTATAAAACAAACATAATATTATATTATAATAATAAATTGATATATTATCATATTATATTAAATATGATGGAATAGATGAATGTAAATTCTTACACGTTGGTAAGACGGACGCAACACATGAGGGCGTGTGACACATAATAATCAGGTCCTCAGAATCAAATGTTATACCTARGTACTATTTATTGGTATTAGGTTAAAAATCTTACTTACTAGGTTACAGAAAAAASCTTTGAAGGGGGGATAGGTTTTTTGAATTTATACAACAAGCATTCTATGGAGTATGAATCATAAGATGAATGTATAAACATATATGGTTACCAAACAAAATAAATTAATTTAATTTTGCTGTGTTCAAACCAGTTAACAATGAAATCAATAGTTTTGTAATAAAATTCAATTAGTTATAGAAAAATTATAAACAACATTGATTGATATATAAAGTACTAAAAATTTTGTTTTCATTTTTGTATCTTTTTTTTTTTTGAAATTGTTATATTTAATATTATTTAGTATAACAGATAAATAATGATTTTTAACATCAAAATAAATAGGTGATGACAAATTTAAGATAAAAGTTATTTGTACAACATAACATATTACTCATTAGTTGTAATTGGACCTAACTAAGATAAATAATTGACAATTGTCTAAAAGAATTTATACTAATTATTAATGATAAAGTGTTGATACCTAAAAGCATCATATTAAACTTAACTAAGAATATTAATTGGAAATATTATATTCCTAGAAATATGTAGAAAAAGACTTGAATATTTTTCTTTGTCATTGACTGTTATTGTAACATAAACCACGACAATAAAATTCAGTTAGAAGAAGTATAATATAACTTCTAATTGACTCAGAACTATAGATTTAGTTTAATTAATTATATAAATTTAAATAAAATTTAGATAACTAAGAATTTTGTGTAATATAAATTAAGCTTAATATTTTATAACTAAATGTTTATAAAATAATAATAAACAATAATATTTTGATTATGCAAGTTAAAATTAAAAAAGGAATTTGGATATATTTATGAATGTACTTGATTTGTACTCTTAATAGTTACAACTTCTTATTATAATATTAAATTAATATATAAATTATAAATATAAAATAAATTAACATAAAAAGTTGTATGTTTATTTTAAACATAATATTTAAATAATTAAATAGCTAGGATTGCTTAAGTACAATTTTAAATTTCAATGTTATTCTCAATAAATACGTTGGCCATAGTTTAATTTAACTATTATTTTTTAAAGGCAATATAAAGTTTGCTTAATAATTAACTTAAATATTATTAATATAATCACTGAAAAGTGTGTATTTAGTTATATTTGACGAGTAAAAACATACCTAAAAATGAGCATTGCTTTAAAAAACTTTTTTAGAATTTGTATAGAATTTAAAAAGTATAATTTATGAATAGTCATATATATCTATGATTAATACATAATTAATAATATAGTTAAACGAATGTATACATATTACATATACCTTGTTTAAAAATAGTTGAGCAAATTTAAAACAGATAAATCACATTTTATAGTTAAGTATCATAATAAAAGTATTATTTATGAAACATAAAAAATCTTAATAATGTAATAAACTATAATAGAAATCTTCAATCAGATTCAAGTAAATTATATTTTCGATGCATTTCTGCTACAGTTACTCCTTCTAGAATAGCTAGTCTTCCCAAAACTTCTTGAGTAGCATCTTTAATGTCATTGTACTGATGTAATGCATTCATAATTTCATCTTTTTCTTTTTTTTTCATTTTCAACTTTTCCAATTCTATATCTAATGAGTTATTCAGTTCATGCAAGTCCTTCTATATTAACAATACATCTTGATCAGTCAAAAYTTATATTATATATATATATTTTATATTATTGAACAATTTAATCACAATGAATGTAAAATATAATTTTTTAAATCTAACAATATTTTTAATCAATAAGCGAGAATTATAATAAATATACATCAGTGGCACAACTAGGCTCTTTCTGTAACCAAATTGTTGGTGCTTTTTACGAATTTTATATAGATGCATAATGAAACAATTTCAAACATTATGTTGTAACATCATGTGTAAGCGTTGCTAAGCTGGATATATAATAAAGAATATTACTATTATTAGACTTTGACTTCTTATGAGTTGTGAATAAAGTATATTTAAATATTTTATATGATCCTTGTTTAAAAAGTTTAGAGAATTATTTAGATTATGTTAAAAATATAACAATAAGTGCTTAGTTTGTGGTTTCCGTCTAAGTGGAATTATTTGACAAAGCTAGATAATATACTGATACAAATTTACCTATGGACTGAGGTAAGTACACTAAAACTGAGATACACCMTAGAGCACTATAATTTTTACTTGCCTATTTTTTTTAGTTGGTTTATAAAACTGTCATATCCTTTTTTTAATGTGAGATATTACAATAATTAAATTATTATATATTGTTCTAATGCATAATTAATTGTAAAGAATTTATTGTATTATTATTTACTTTTATTTGAAAGTTTTGTAACAGCATAAAAAAAATATAATTGTACAACAGATGATCGACCCTGTAGTGACAAATAAATTTTAGATGGAGCGGTAGCGGGGCACTAACAACAAGTACCTTAACATATAACATTTGATATTCATTGTACAATTACATTCAGTTTTATTTTCACTTACTAAATCTTATTGAAATCCATGAGTCAATAAAAATAAAAAATAAATAATAATCATCATACTTTTTCCACTAGATTGTTCATTGCTATTTTTTTATCGTTATTCATTATTCTATTTTGCGTTTTCTGTRTCCGTGAAAATAGTTTTTTCTTTGTTTGTTCCCAAATGCAAAGTAGTTGTTTGTTCGTATTCCAATCCGTATTCTTTCATACCACGCTATATGAAATAATGATGGTTATTATTATTGCTATAAATAAAAATGTATTAGCTTATATATTATGTTAACTCACTTTTACACAGTCTGTATACAACTCAAACACTTTATTGCATCTTTCATTGTTATCATGTCCATTCATATAATGTTCAGTAAACCATACATTAAAACACTGATCATACTTTTGTTTTAATTCGTCGCAGTCAGGATGGAAACTTTTAAGCCGATCAACTTCAGGGCTAGAATTATTATCACCCATCTCTATTACACAAATTATAACTTAATATAAATATAAATTTTCAAAATCAATAACTTAAGAAAAGTGACTACAAAACCATAAAGTTTCCATCTTAAATAAAGTAGATTTATTAAATGATTTTTATAAAATTCTTCATGGATAGTTGATATACAATTTGTCCAATCGACAATCAGTGTTCCCCACAATGTAGAACAGTGATAGTCGACATATTTCAACACTTGGATAACATAGAAAAATTAAAAAGGTTTGGCAAGCTGGACAAAACAAAAATTTGTAGCCTTATTTTAATAATTTTTAAATATTAAATAATATATTTAAGAATATAGTTTATAGTAAAAAAAAACTTAAGTGTTATCAACTGTTTGGAAAATGATCAATGTGATTTTTGTTATCGTATATTTTTCCCTAATATTTTTTTTAAATTTCCAAGTTAAAATTACTTATGCTTACTCAAGTACCTACATAATTTAGTCATCAATTAGGTGTAAAAAGAATATGTTTTAAATTTAATTTATATGAGAAAGTCAGTTTACGCATGTATCTATAAAAATTAGGATGACCATAATTACATTTTAAAAAATAGGCAAACAATCCAAGATATCTAAGAAAACCTCCAAAATATGTTTAGAGATTTTAATATTTTTGAGATGCTTGCCTGATATGTTATCGGTAAAGAGAGAATTTTTTGGAAATACATAATATAACATTGCAATATTCCATTAGAATAATACGTCTTATGCTTATCACTGACCACTGTTTATTGTCATGAGTCATGACACTTGTCAAATAAAAAATTTTGTTTATGAGTTATGACTATTAGCTTCAACAACTCAATATAAAACTTTTAATATGATACTATGAAATTTGTAACATTATTTCAGAAGATTWAATATCAGGAATGAATTGATTCTTATTTTATACCTACCTACCTACCTAATTTTAAATTGTGCTGAACGAAATATACGATTCCAAACCACTATAGTAGAACAAATAATAATTAAGATTTAAAATTTAAACTTGCACCTCTAGAGTTTCAAGAATAGGAATAGATGTAAAGAAATTAAAATATAATTAATTACAAAGAAAAACTAACATGTAGTACTGGGAATATTATATTGTTTGTATTGTATTAAATAGTGTACATACCTGAATGTATACAATTAATTCAAAATACGCTAGTAAAAAGTTGAAATGCTATTAAGCAAATGGAATTGATTTTAATGATCGAAAGCCAGCGGCAACTATTAAATTGGTGAAATTTTTAAGGGTTATACACAGAAACCCGGGTGAAATCAATAACGTGACATTTATTATCAATTATCATGAAAATAAAATAAAATTATGAACTTATCTTGGTTTGAGTTTACCGTGTTAACCAGGCGTGAATCGTGGAGATAAAAGAATTCATTCATTTTGATGCCTCCAAACCATAAATGATAATACGACGGTAATTAATATTGATAGTGTCGTGAAATAATAATTATTGTTATGGTATGTGACCAAGTAAACAACTTTTGTTATAACTTTAAAGTTTCTACTTAGATCTTACTCAGTACTCACTGTTGTTGCGGGCTATGWATTCCATGAATTCATAAATCATTCATTTATTTATAATAATAAACGGGACAGGTCCTTAACATTTACATAACATAAATAATTAATAACGTYACTATAATTATAACAATAGATAGAATAAGTAATATTCACATGATTAACAGAAAGAACACGGAAAAAATAGGTAACAATTTAAAAATTAAATAAAATATTCGAAATCCTTGACCTGAAATAACAATAGTCAATATATTATAATACTTCCTACAATCAGAATAGGACAAATTAATCTAGTAGAAAAGTAGGAACCTGATATAATAAATTATTGTCGCAACTTTAAAATATAATATTATTCGAACATAGTATTATATTATAATTATTATTATTTATAATCGTGATTATTGTAAATTTATCAATGTTATTAATTAATTCATGTATTTCATTTTAAATAAATTTCAACTTTTAATTTACCAAAACAAAATATATATACTATCTACTAAAATACTAAAAGTCTAAAAAGCAGGAAAGTGGATATTGCTCTGCTGTATAGTAGGTTACAAGTTGGTTACTGTAATGGATGGTATTACATTTGAATTCAATAATATGAGATCATTGTATACGTAAAACAAAACGGATCTAAGCGGAGACAGTTGGTCAGTCTAGGAAATTTCATATTATTTTTAATATTATATTCTTATTTTTTCAAAAAAAATTGTAGGTACCTAAAAATAAATTCAAAATTAATCAAATCAGATTCATTATGTATCTGACTCACTCAGTCATTCATAGTATATACAATTTATTAGAAAGTATTAATATAAGTCATTAATGAAATTAACTACTATAATTAGAATATAAAGTATACCTATTCTAGAAATTTAGTACTTTAGTACATAAGTACTCATGAATAATATTTTTAAATTAGAACAATATGACTAAAATTGTTATTCTTGGTTAGTAAATATGTAGTTTCATCCAAATTTAAACTTGAAATAACTATTAAAAAAAACTGTATTCGTATAGTTCTTAGATTTTTTTTGTTACAGAATCAACTACTTACGTAGAACCTTGTTTAAGATTATCAATCCTTAACTATTAAATAAATTTTGTCAAAATTTGAACTTAAGTATTTTCCAACCGCTATTATATAAAATTATGGGGAATATAAAATCTGTTGACTTTTGATATATTGTTGTAATTCAAAAAATGTATTACCTTAGATACTCAAAATTTTACCAAATATTTTTATTAGCATTTTCTATACACAGTAATTTTTTAAAAATATTTTGACTGTTTTCGTGCTATTTATATGATAATTTTTTTTAATTTCATAAATTATTTTTCAGTTAAAAATTCATAAAAGTTTTTAATTTTTAATCTGCAATTACTGTACAGCAGAATGGTATCCATAACTGTTTATAATGCAAATTTAATTAATTTTCTATAATTATGTGTTTTCTTAAATTAATTATTTATATATTTTAAAGGATAGAAAAATTATTGTGACCTAGAGTGCCAAATCTCTAAATATGTCATTGATAGTGTTTAACAATTTATTTAATAATTTAATGTTTATTAAACACTGTTTATATGATGATTTTGGGGTACTAGTGTCTTCTTTTTTCTATAATATTGCACTATGTTCATAAAAATATAATTTTTATAAAAACTTTATGAAAAATTTTGARGAAATACCTAAAATAAAAATTTCAATAAAGACTCAATTTAGTATAATAATACATAAACATTTCTGTAACTTGTTTAAACTTATTTAAATTAGTCTCGGTGAATAGATTAAATGAAAAATACAATAGAGTGTGACTAAAAAATTTTCCCATATTATTTCGTAGCCCTTAGGTATCTTAGTATTACAGTACATTATAGACACCCTAAGATGCTAAGTACACTTCAACTTCACAAAACATTGTGCTCAACTATTTTACATATTATAAAAATAATGACTAGTGTTGCTAGTGACAATTATTCTGCAACTGACAATATTATGATTTATGATTTAATACTTTTTAGATTTTAGAAGTGTTGCTGTATAGGTAATAC